TGTAACACACTGCAACATGGTTGCATTTGTCTTTTTAGACCTGTTTCTCTAGATATGCAGTTGGTCAGACTATTAGCAAAACATTTATGGGCATGTCTTCTATAACAAGCACAGTTATCAGGAGCTGAGAAACAGCAGGGAACAAAACAGGGCAAGCCTCTAATCCCAGCACTCAGGAGGCTGAGACAGGAGGATTGAAAATTCCAGGCCAACCAGAGCAATTTTGCAATTTAGACCCTGTCTCAAAATAAAATTTCAAAAAACGGAGTGTACCTCAGTGGTAGAGCACTCACCTAGCAGGCACAAGGCCCTAGGTTCAGTCCTCAGTATTGCAAAATTTAAAAATTCAAGCAGATAAATGAAACAGACAAAATCCTTGGCTGGGGTGGGGGGTGTTCGTTGAAACAGTAAATAAATATATGTAATATGCAATTACACATATAGATGTCTTTAAATACAGTGACATACTATACATGCTCTTTGAGTGTGTGCCTATTTTTGCTAGCAGTATAACCTGGGCCTTACATGTGCTAGGCAAATGCTCTACCACTGAGCTGTATCCCTAGTCCAAGATATTATATGTGTGTTAGTGTTTAGTCTAGAAAATATGAAAAAGACTCAAGAGACAGAGACCCCATGATTTAGATTCATAAGTCAAAAAAAGTTGCATTTCATAGCTTTGGATGGTACCTTGCAGTTGTTCATAAATAGTTTTATTTTGTCTTACAAAGTCATGATCATATGAAAGTATAGGTTTTTCTTCATCTCTTCTCTTGCACAAATAATGCCAACAAAACATAAACAAAAGCAAAATCCCATGTAAATCTGCCACTGAAAAGTAATCACTGCTAATCTTTATTATCCCCCCCCCCAACCAAACCAGAAGTTTGGGATCACACTGACTCTTAATCACTGGGTAACCAACTCTGACCTTGCAACAAATGCCCACTGTACTTCTGCACCATTATTTTTATGACTGTAGATTCGACCATCAAATAGATTCACCGCAGTGGTATCAGCCGGTCTGCTTTCCTTGGATATTAGGATATTTCCAATTTTTCAGTTTTAGGAGAACACTTAAATGAATGAAGTAGAGTATTTGTACATATCCTTAGTTATCCGAAAGTGTAATTTTTTTTGTTTTTATTCATTTATATTTTAACTGCAACACATCACAATGTTGATTGCAGTTATCTTTGATGATATTATATGAGATTATTATTTTATTTTTATACTTTTTTTGTTTCTTCTAAATGCTTTGCAAGGGACAAGTTTTATTTGTTTAGCCACCATGTTATTTAAAAATGTCCACATTACTGTGGTGTTCATGGTAATAGATTTTTATGGCTGCCTATAATTCCATATAGGAGACAAGCTGTCATTCACTAAGCCATCCTGATCACTGGGCCTTGGGTTGTTTGCCAGCTTTTTGAAGACCTTTGTGGAGGAGACCCCCTCCATGTCTGAGGGTGTGTCTTTGGGAAACAGCAGGCTCTGGATATCCTGCCAAACTGCTTCCCCGAAAGAGGTCAGTTTCCCCTCCCACCAGCAGCATGTGCCTGCCCTGCCACCCTCTCCTCTAGAATGGCTCAGGCCCCTGAACAGGCACAAACCCTGCCAGCAGGGCCCCGGGAGAACAGGAAATGGTTTCATCAGCAATGCCAACATGGTGACCCCAGGCTCGGAGCTCAGGAGCCAATTTTTAACAAGCCCAGTTCCCAGAACAGAACCCGCAGAGAGAAAGGAAAGACAACAAGCAAAAGAAAAAAAAAAAACTCTTTGCTGGAAAAAAAAACACATACCCAGATTAAAATAATATTTGGCACTTATATCACACTTTTAAAATTCTTCAAACGCTTTATAAACACTAGCTAATTAATTAAGATGCCTAAATCTGGCTGCAGTTGGTGGAGAGAGCTAAAAAAAAAAAAAGAAGAAGAAGAAGATGAAGGGGAGCCAGCCCTACCCAAGTGCAGATTTTATTGTTGCCTGCCCGGGGTGTGATTATGGGCCTCCAGCTGCACCCTGAGAATAGCCCTGCTCCAACTTGCCACACACTGACCCCACAGCCACTCCTGAATGAGGAGCTCCCACCCCAGTGCTGACTCACACAGGGTGCCACTGTTATTGATAAGGATAATAATAACTGACTCTGGGATAGGCCAGTAATAGCTTCATTGAACAGATGAGGAAAGAGACTTGGAGTTGGAATTTGCCAGGGTCACCGCACAAATAAAATCCCTCCTTCCGCCATTCATCCGTGTGTTCGCTCAGCATATGTTTATTGAGGTCCCAGTGTGTGCCAGATACTGCTCTAGACAGGAGGCTGGAAACAGTCCCTTGTGGATCCAACATCCTAGTGGGAGATACAACAATCCTGAGAAAACCAAATATATCAATAATGCAGCTATGTGATAACAATAAGGATAGGAGCTAGCATTTAACCAGGGTGAACATAGCAGGTCCTTATGTGGAGATCTGTCACGATCCTCATAACTATATGGGAGTGGTGGTGGATGCTGAAATTCTACTTTGTGGATGAGGGAATGGGGGACAGAGAGGAGGTGCTAAGCTGGGAAACCTGTTCTTGTCTGCTGGCCAAGGACCTGTGCTCCTGCCAGACAGTGTTTCCAGTTGGACCAGCCACACGTGCTGGAGTACTGGCTTGGTGCTGTGAGAATCAGACAATGTTCAGAGTGATACTTGGAGACCCTGCTCACCCTGCCACAAGAGCTGAACCTCGAGTGAGCCCTGTGGCTGAGAGAGGGAGAGAGGTAGTACAGTGGACAGGTGGTACCAGGCCTGCATTAAGACCCCGGCCTCTCCCCATGAGGGCAGAGGAGTACGTGAGATTCCCTTCTCTTGAGCACTTTCCCCCTGCCAGCAGTGTAGTGCCAGGCCAGGGTCTGGTGGACAAATTCACAAGGTCTCTTCTGCCCGCCAGAGCCTGAGGAGCTACTCAGGGAACCTGCTGCATCCCTCTCTACTGGACAAGATTACACTGAGGGTCAGTGCAGGTCCCAGTGGAGGACCGGATCACCTGGCCCACTGTGTACAAGCACCACTCTTTCCTGTCTTTCTTAAACTTCTTTTCCCTATCATATCTCCCTCTCTGTCTTGCCTCTCAGTGCCTCTGCTACTTCTGTGAACAGTTGTCTGTCATATCATTGAGTTTATATCCACATATTTAACCGACCATGGATCAGAAACATAGTTAGGCCTATTATGGCTGCATCTGTACTGAACCAAGTGCAGATTTTTATGGTTGATGTCATTATTCCCTAAACAATCCAGTATAATAACTATTTACATTGCATTAAGTATCACAGTTGTGTACCACATACCTTTTTTGGTTAACAATGGAAACCCATATACTACAGTATGAATCATATACCTAGGTTTAAGTAAGTCATACCATTTTGGTTTGTGTAATTATGCATAATGTTCACATGATGATGAAATGGCTCGATCTCCACCGTTCAGGGACACAAGATTGTATAAGTAATCTAGAGATGATTTACAGTTTACACGAGTATGTGCATCCGTCTTATACAAATGCTGTGCTATTTTATGTGGCACAGTATCCTCAAAAGTGAGTATCCTTTGATTTTGGAATCTGAGAGAGTTCCTGGAACTAATTCCCCACAGATACTAAGGAATGGCTCTATGTGTTTCTTTGGGGTCTTTATGATCTATCCTTTCTTTTTGCCCCATTTTCCTCATCTTCTCGCCTTCCCCTGCTTTAGAATCAGTGACCCTGGCTGTGCCTTGTTCCGCAGCTGCTGTCTTTCAGCCCCTGGGTATCTGCAGCACAGCTCATGGCCACCACATCCTGCCTGGTCATCTTCCTGTGCCCTCTAACCAGTCTCCCCTCATTAAGGCTCAGCTCACCCCTGGGGCTCCTTCTAGCTGCCCAGCCTGGGAGCTTGAGTGGCCTGGTCCAGTTCCTGCTGTGTCCTCGCAGTGTAGCCCAAGCCAGGTCTGAGGGGCATCAGCAAGGGTCAGTGGGAGTGAAGTTTAATCAACTGCCTCTTCTTATGCATTTTCTTTGTAATGACAACAGTACTCAGCCAGGCATTATGGGACTAAAGAATACCATTTTCAGAACAAGGCAGGCACCTGGGAGATATTCTGCTTAACTCGTAGATAAAAAAAAAAAAAAATGAGAGTCAAAATAGGTGGGTAAATTAGGGTCACACATGAATGAGGGGCACACCGGGTTTCAAACCAGGTCTGATGAGTCTGGACTGGATGATGCTTTTTGACATTATCAGCAGCCTCAGCTTGTTTTGTCCTCCCAGAGATCCATCTTCAAGGATGAGCTCATAGTAACTACTTTACAGATGAGGAAACTGAGGCAGAGACCCATAAAAGGCCATTCCCAATCCAAGGGCAGCATTTTTATCCATGCAGCATGTGGCAGTGGAAGAGCAACTGGGCTTCTCACTTACCTAAGTGACAACCGCAGGTGACACAGGATGCCACTGACCCACAACTCAAGCTCATATTCTTTCTGTTATTCCACTACTATCACTTGGCTGAGTCCAGCTTCTTGCTCTAAGGGACTGCTTCCTGGTCCAGACCAGAAACAACCTATCAACAATGACTTTCTCCCATTTTGTAGAGCTCCACATATCCCAGATGTCCTCCTACCCCTGCTCAGCCTGCTCAGGCCAGTCTCTCTGTGGGAATACCAGGCTCCTTTCTGCCTGGTAAATGCAGATTTGAGTTCCGAGCCCAGCTCAGACACCACTCTTCCACAGAGGGCTCAGGAAGGCAAGTCCCCACTCCCCTATGTCAGTTAACTTTTTTGTGCCTCAGGTTCCATGTTGGTATTAAGAGAGTCTTGAGGCACAGAAACAGATGAGGGTTACATGTGATAATACACGCAGAATGCTGAGCTCCAATGCTATGCACTCAGTAAAAGTTACTGTTGATGGACACATGATAAACTCCCAGGACCCATCAGGATGAATATTAACTGCTGTATCTCCCTCCAGGAGCAGCCTCAGAGGAGAATCTGCAGGTGATTCAACCTGAAAAGTCAGTATTGGTTGCTGCTGGAGAGACGGCCACTCTGCACTGTACTGTGACCTCCCTCTTCCCTCTGGGGCCCATCCAGTGGTTTAGGGAGCGAGAAAAAAGCCGGGAGTTAATCTACAATTTCAAAGGAGGTCACTTCCCCCGAGTCACAAATGTGTCAGACAACACAAAGAGAGACACCATGGACTTTTCCATCCGCATCAGTAACGTCACTCCAGCAGATGCTGGCACCTACTACTGTGTGAAGTTCCAGAAAACCAGCTCTGACGACAGAGAGTTTCAGTCTGGAGGAGGCACCGAGCTGTCTGTGCGTGGTGAGTACAGTGTGTGCCTCCCTAGGCCCTTAGTGTGTGACAGTAAGTCAGGAATCACACTCTACTCTGTGAGCACTAGCTAAGCAGCAGATTGGGTGGGTGCTCATGTTCATGATCTGGTGTCACTTCTTCAGCAGATCAGGGAAACTAAGGTCTGCAGAGGCCATGCTGTTTGCTTCGTGGCTCATAAATGATAGCCTTCTGCAACCCCCGTGTCTGCTCCACAGACCTTGCCTTTTCTACTGTGCCCTAGTCCTTTAGCGCTTCAAGTTTGAGTGAACTGCTGAGTCGCAGGGCCAGGCCTCACCTCTTCTCTCCAGAGGGTAGTTTCCCTTGGAGGTGAATCCTCTATGCCCGAGTACTAAGGGCCTACTGTATGCAGAGTCTGTTGATGATATCATGGAAAAAGGATGATATCATGGCTGAAGCTCTTCCCCCAACAAGCTTGTTCTTCTGTGATGACCAGTCTGACCAGGGCAGGAAGAAGGTAGGACATGTTTTCCTCGTTTCCCTGCAGAAAATAGATCAGTAAGAAGATCCTAACAGGCTCAGGCATCCTCTTGAATCTGATGCTCTGGCTGGAGGAGCTAATGAGAGGTTGGCTCATTGCCCTGGGTCTTCCCGCAAAGACCCTGTGTATTGGGCATTGGCTCTCACAGGCACTGATGGCTCTGGGTCCTCTACTCAGGAGAGTCCCTCATGTGAGTGATGTAGGAGCCTCCTGCAAAGATGCTCACTTTGGGTTTCCTTCCAGAGACCCAGGGTGCTCTGTCTGGTGCCTGATTATAGGATTGTCAGCAACAAAGACCTTTAGACCATTCAACCCAACCACTCTTTACAAATAGAACCCTGAGGCTCATATGTGGCCAGTTAGTACCCAGATAGGGACCAGAACTGAGATCTGATTCGAGGCCAGGCTTCTTCCTGTCCCAGTGTTAGATGTTTTCTCCACAGGGGAGCCAGGTACGTAGTAACTGCTGAATAAAAGCTTCTTGACCTGAACTGCTGAACAAAGAACCAACTTCTACTCTTCATTGGTTTCTAAAAGATTCAGCATGTCACAGACATTCAGACCCTGAGGCTTGTCGGTGATTGGAAAATTTCTTCAAACTAAAGCCATAGCTACAGATCATTTCCTTGCTGAGATTCATGGGATTATATAGGGCACCACTCCATTGTTTAAACAGCTTCATTGTGCTTCAGCATCTGCATATGTCATCATACATTTGACGGTCTTCTGTAGGTAGATGTTTAAATTGATATGAAACATGCTGTTACAACCATGCTGTAGTGATGATCTTGTACATTCATCATGCTGCACAAAATATGGACACCCCCATCCCACCTGGGAAGAGGCCTGCTAGGTCAGAGAGAATGTCTTTAATTCTGTGAATGTTGCCAGTTTTCTTTTCTGGATGTGGTAGCAGTCAAGTCTCCTCACAACTCCTGGACATAGATAGGGAAGGTGACTTCATTCTGACTTTGTAGGTATCACAAATCCACGTGGTATGTCCTGTGTGTAGGCAGTCACAGCTAGCAGGTGATTCCGGCACAACTCAATCAGCCAACTCCTGAGGCCAGAGAGGAAGAGTTAAGCTTTGTTTCCCCATGGAGCTAGATTGTGAGGTGCTTCAGGTTAACACAGGCTAGGCACAGTAATCTGGGACCTCTGTGGCAGGGCAGGGAAATCTCAAGGAGCAGGCCCCAGGGTCACTGAGGGAGGTCCCAGTCAGAGGCCTGCTCCGACCCAGCCTCACTGTGGGGTCAGCCCTCTCATACATGTTTGTGCTTGGACAGGCACTGGAGCTCAGCAAATCCTCTTCGCTCTTCAGCACAGAACCTTCCCCTGATGATTCTCAAGTGACCCGAAAATGTCACTGAGGAATTTGTCCTTTCTCCCTTCACAGAGCTTCCAGCTTTCTGTAAATAGCTGCAATGGAGGAAGTGTCTGTGATCTTACCGGTATTCTGGAACCCCTTTACCTCATTTTCCGAGGGTTATTATTATGAAAGCAGGGAAAGAATCAGAATTTGGTGGTTTCTGTTTCTTCTTTCCCTTAGGTTTTTCATGGCAGCTGTAGGAACAGGACTGAGACTTTCTTGGCGTCTCCATACTTCTTTTGTTTTTTTTTTTGGTACTGGGAATCGAACTCAGGACTTTGCACTTGAGAGGCAGGCGGGTGCCACTGAGCTAAATCCCCAGCCCTTCCATACTTCTTTTGTTGTGCCTCTGGCTTCCTAGAGAAGAAAAATGTTTTTTCAAAAATAATAGTAATAGCAGTCATAAATGTTATTTATTAAGCACCTATTATATGCAGGCACTGTGTCATGCATTCATCCTCATTTTACCAAGATGGTGTTTTCATTCATTTGGTACAGAAGCAAGCACTGAGTCTAAGAAGATAAAAGAACAGATATTAAGTTAATCAGCCTCAGAATGATGAGATGAGCTTAGCTCTTTATTTCCTGCTCTACCTTGTGTGTCTTTGGCCAACCACACCATTCTTGAGCTTTGTCCCATAGAAGGGCTCACACTTGGACCCCTTTGTGGGGCTGGTGATAACAGATGGAGCAGCCAGTGTCAGGCTCCTTAGAACTCCATAACTGGTAACTACAGTTGTCCTCAGTTCTGTGGGGATCAGTTCCAGAACCCATGAGGTTACCCAAACCCAAGGACGCTAAAGTCCTATGTATGAAGTAGTGTAGTATTGGCCTCTAACATCCTCTCATATACTTTAAATCATCTCTAGGCTGCTTACTCATGTAATGCCTAACATAATGCAAATATTATTTAAATAGTTACTATACTGTATTAAGAATAAAGACAAGAAAACCTGTTTAAGGGCTGGGGATTTAGTTCAATGGTTCCACTGCCTTCCTTGCAAGTCTAGGGACCTGAGTTCGATCCCCGGTACAAAAAAAAAAGAAAAAGAAAACCTGTTCATACTCAGTAAAGATATAGTTTTAAAAGTTTTATTTTCTGTCAGCAGATGGTTGACTCCAAGGATAGGGAACCCCTTCATATAAAGAGCTGGCTCTGCAGCCTCCCTTCCTTTAGGATCTTGTAGACTGCTGGTGTCTTGCTGGCTTGACTTATTCAAATGACACTTACTCAAACTTACTGTGTTTGGTGGATGTTAGGGACCAAGTTAAATATTTACAAATGCAAATATGTGTGATATTTGCCACCCTGGTGACTTTTATAGATAGTTCTAGATAATAATTAGCAATTTGCAGACACCCATTTGGGACCCATACAGAGCAAACTGCCTTCACTCATTTGTGTGATTTTAGGACCAGGGAAAGCAGCCTGCTCAGTGGGCCTGTGTCTGTGTCTCTTGTAATTAATTAGTAACTAAGAACTTAACCACCTTTGGCTTTCTCTGCACCAGGTGATCTGTTTTCAACCCCAAACCGACGCAACAGAATCTCCCAGATTCAGGAAAACATTCTTTTAGCCTCTCCCTTTCAAATTCGGACCTACTGGCATATTTATGGAAAGAAGAAAAATATGGAATAAATGCCTAAGTACCTGCAGGGAGAACTCTAGATGGGAATAAAGTCTGGTTAAATATAGATCTGTTTGTGTTCGTTTTTTTAGCAGCCTCTCCTTTGTATGATCCAAAGCAAAATGATTCCAAGGCCCCATTTCATTCACCCTCACTGGCAAGAGGAAGGAGAAAAGCAGTGGTCCCTTGTCACAGATAGTGCTCTAGGATGTACCCACCACATCACTGGTGCAGCCTGCTATGGTGCCGTTTGTCCCATGTATTTACCTCTACAAATGCTTTCCCTAGGTGGCAAAGTTTTCAGAAGAGGCTGACAGGAAACAGTTAAAACAAAGAATGAGACCTGACCATAATTTCCTCCCTGTGCCCAGATTGGTGGGAACTCCCTGGTACAGAAAGAGGAACTTTGACCTCAGGCCTGGATTCCACCTGGGCCCCCCTTTGCCCCCTTTCTTACTAACTGGCTGGGCAGGTGCTCACCCCCAAGACAGGAGACAGAGACTGAGGATATTACCCTCTCAGCTGTCTTAGGATTCATAGATGTCTATGGCTGGGAGTGTTGCTCAGTGGTAGCTGTGCTTAGCATGCAGGAGGACTTGAAATCGTTGCCCAGCACCGCCCCCCAAGAAATGTCTAGGAAGGTTCCTTATAGTGTCACTCGCTATCAGTGGTGGTCATTGCAATCACATTTCTTGTCTATAAATGATACTTTGTAGCCAAACCTTCTCCCCCTGTGGTGTCTGGCCCTGTGGTGACGGCCACACCTGGGCAGACAGTGAACTTCACGTGCAAGTCCCATGGCTTCTCCCCCCGAAACATCAGCCTGAAGTGGTTCAAAAATGGGAACGAGCTCTCCGACTCGCAGACCAGCGTGGATCCCGTGGGCAAAAGCGTCTCCTACAGCATCTCTAGCACAGCCAAGGTGGTACTGGACCCTGGGGATGTTCGCTCACAGGTCATCTGTGAGGTGGCCCATGTCACCTTGCAGGGGGTCCCTCTTCGTGGGATTGCCAACTTATCAGCCAGCATCCAAGGTAGATGACCCTGACCCTGACCCAAGCCCAAGTCCACTCCTGCCCACCAAGCATGATCCTCCCAGCTGGCTTTTGCTCCTGGCCCTGAATGGCCTGGATCTCATTCCCAGCAGGCCTACACACCTAACGTGTGCACGTGGGCTCCTACCCTGTGATGAGCACTACACTGGTCATTGCTTTTATTTTACCAACAGTAATATAATTATCAGGCACCTACTATGATCAAAGTCCCTGTGTACCCAGTGATTACATTTATTCTGCTCCAGTCACTGCATTCTGACTTCATGTCAGGGGTTGGCGCTTGTTGATTTCATTCACTAGCCTCATAGGAGCCACCTGTCCTTAAGCACCTACTGTGTTAGGTGCTGTGCTTAGTGATTTCATTCATGCACAAACCCTCAGTGTTTGAGCCCCTGCTGCATGCCTAGCATGGTCCCAGGTGGTGCTCAGCTCTCCAGCCCTTCCTCTGTGACCTGTCCATGCCATAAGGTCAGAGCTTCTGCCTGTGCTGTTTCAGTTCCGCCCACCTTGGAGGTCACCCAGCAGCCCACAATGACAGAGAACCAGATGAACGTCACCTGCCAGGTGAAGAATTTCTACCCCCAAAGACTGAAGCTGACCTGGTTGGAGAATGGAAATGTGTCCCGGACAGAAACATCCTTGAATGTCACAGAGAACAAGGATGGGACCTACAGCTGGACAAGCTGGATCTTGGTGAATTCATCTGCTCATAGGGAGAATGCAGTGCTCACCTGCCAGGTGGAGCAGGATGGGCACCCAGCGGCCACCAGAAACCTGACCGTGCATGTCTCTGTCCCTCCAAAAAAGGAGGGCATGGATACCACTCCTGGTGAGGCCACCTCTCCAGCTGACTAGTTGTTTTTAAACCTTATCTTAACTTTTTAAAAAGATGTGAAAACTAGTATTCATGCTTAGTAGGGGGCCGGGCATGGTGGCACACGCCTGTAATCCCAGCACTTGGGAGGCTGAGGCAGGAAGATCACTGTGAGTTCGAGACCAACCTGGGCTACATAGTGAGTTCAGTTCAGTTTCAGCTACATAGTGAGACCCTGTCTCAAAAAAAAGAAATAAAAAGAAAAACCACATGCTTAGTATGGAATAATACAGAAGTCTATAAACAATAAAGTAGAACTTTAACATGAGCTTCCCTCCCCCAAACCTCACACTGCAAGAGTCACTACTGGTAGAGTTTGATAATGCATCTCAGTGGGTTTTTGATTCAAATAGATATTAAGGAAGAAAAGGGAGGGAGGAGACTATCCTTTCCTAGTGTCCTGCCTGCTTTCTTCCCCACCTAACAGTAGATACATTGTTGTTCTTGTGCCCACTCCTCTTCTAGACTGCCTGGTGCCTAGCTGATATTGTGTGCCTGCCACTGGGTAGGGGTGTTCAGGATGCTTGCAGATGGGCTCAGGAACAGTTGATGCGGCAGTGAACTTCCTTTTCATGTATTCTGCCCACATGTGGCTGTTTCCTGGGACAATCTCTCAGCTGAAGAGTATTTCAAGGCCAAGGACACAATCGTTAAGGACAAAAGTCACACTTCCACTCTCCTAAACACAATTCAGGGTTTGTGGGCACCATTTCTCAGCCCCTCCAATGTGTGGTCAGTGCAGAAACCTTGTTGAAAACAGCTGAACCTTGGGGTCCTTTCAATGCCACCATGGAATGTCCCATCTCCTGTCTTTATTGCCTCGTATACAGCAGGACCTATGCATGCGTTAGAACAAAGGCCGTTTCTTCATGCATCCTTCAGGGAAGCTCCAAACGACACAGCCTCGGGGCTGCATCATGGTGCCCCTTTGACTATGCTTATGTCTGGTTTTCATAGGATGCATAGGACGTGTGATCTGTTCTGGATCTGTCATAAACTTGCTTTGTGACCTTAGATAAGTCAGTGCCTCTATCAGAGCCTCTGCTTGCTCATAGCAGTGTTGATTCTGAGTTTTGGGATCCCCGAGTTCTGAATCTCAGCTGAGGTGACCATGATTATCTTGTTCAACATTATAGCTTAGTATGCACTCATCAGATACTTTGAGAAAGGATGAAAGAGTCAGTTGGGTAGCTGGTTATTTAGGTGGCCTCAGGGTTAACCAATGAGGTAGAGATTATTGTTGGCCTCTGTAACAGCAGAGGAAGCCAGCAGGGAAGAGAGGCTCAGCTGTTTTGCCCAAGGTCAGACATCTACTTAAGGTATTGATTTGAATCCACATGTCTGTGGCTCTGAGTCCTGCCCCTCACTAACCACAGTGCTCTAGGACCTTCAGTCTGTGCCCTGGGTCCCTATGGTGCTGTCTCCTTCTTATGTGCCCTAATGGAGAGCTCCTAGGCTGTGGGATAGGTCCCAGGCACAGAGAAGTGGTCAACCCCTGAGCACCTACAATGTGCCCATCCACACTTCTCCTGCTCAACCCTAGTGCCTTGTTTGACAGCCAGTTGCTGATTGAGAGTCTGAGATGGGTCTGTGCTGCTGTTGCAGTCATTCTGGTTACTCCAGATGAGTGTGCTTCTGTTCCATGGGGATGAGGCAACTGCTCCCGTCCTGCAGCTGGCATCCTCTGGTTATCAGCAGCACCCATTTTTCCTCCTGGCCCCGAGTGGCGTTTATACCCCTCCTGAATGACCCTGTGCACGTTCATATGGCTGGAGCCATCTGAGAAGGCCCAGCCAGATGTTCTCCGTCCCTGGGAGAAGCAGTGGCCTACGTAGTGGTGGGAAGAGGCAGTGGGCTTTTTTTTTTTTCTCTCTCTTTGTAATCTACCTACGTGAAGCCTGTCTTCCATGCAGACAAAAGTGCCAAAAACAACTGGAATGTCTTTATCGTGGTGGGTGTGGTGTGTGCCTTGCTGGTAGTCCTGTTGATGGCGGCCCTCTACCTCCTCCGAATCAGGCAGAAAAAAGGTGGGTGGACTGTCTGCTTCCTCACTAAGGTTTACCCCTGGGTTGTCCTTCCCAGAGGGGTTGCTACTAGGTGCCCTAGGCAGCACTGACTTACTTTGACAAAAAGGCCAGAGGCAGCAGTGCTGGACTGGTGAGCAGCTGCATCATGGAGTTTGGAGGGTCAACCATGGAGTTGCCCTTGTGGTTGCAGAATGGCCATCACTGCCCCAGGCCTCACGTCTTCCAGGACTACTACTGAGGTGGGAAGAGGGGAGATGCCAGGCAGAAAGAAGGGACTTGGAGACTCTTACTCTGGGCTTCAGGTCGGAGCAGTCTTCTCCAGGAGCTGCTTAGTAGACTTCTGGTTTCTTCCATGTCCCAGCCCTGGGTATGAGGCTAGAAGGGAAAGGACTAATAGTCCCATCTACCTCCAGGGCAGGGGAGCTGGAGGCTGCATGGATACTGTGTGTGAAATATTAGGGGATGGCCTGGCCAATGAGTGCTCAGTGAGTGTCAGCTCCTGCAGTTGGTTTTACATAATGTCTTCCCAGGAGAGCCCTGTGAGATGTGCCACCCCAGGACATGTTCTTGTTTGTGTCCATGAGTGTGGCTGTCAGTGTGACCAAGCTTTTGACTCTGAAGTCAAGCAAGCCATGGATTGAGAACCTTGTTATACACTGTAAACAACCAGCTGGGCTCCATGTGCCTCGAGTTTCCTCATCTGTGAAATGGGCTAGCAACACCTCTTTTGGAGAATAGTTATGAGGCCCAAGTTAGCCCCTGTGAAACAACAAGTGTGAAACATCCTGGGACCTAAGGCAGTGCACATTCTCTTCCATGTTTGGAGGAGTTGATTTTAAGCTGGTATTTCTAAAACCTTTTTTTTTTTTTCACTGCAAGCAATAGAAGTAACATTTCACGTCTGAACCCAACTCACCCCTTTATATAAAATTGAAGAGCTGGTATTTTCTTTTTGGTCATATTCTGTCCTCTTCCCTGTTAAAAATGTTTCTTGTGACCCAACACGAGCCACAGCCTGCAGTGACAAATCCTGCTGCAAGCTGCCATGCTATGCCAGGTGCCTGGCTAAGCTTGGATGGGTGTGTCAGGCATCAGGCACACATCCCTTCTGCACCCTTCTGCGTCCCTTCTCCCTCGCCGAAGGCCTCTGCTTTGAGATAGGGCCCCTAGCTGCCATCTGGGAGGGCTGGAGTCAGGGCCACCACTCCGGAATGCACAAGAAGTTCTGCCACATCTACTCGATGGGTCCCTGGAGAGCCTCACACAGGAAGGACCTCATTTGGGGGAAGCAGGGCCCCTGCCTACCAAGGGTAACGAACATTTGTAGCAGCCCTTGGTGACGTCCCACCTCCTTTCTGGGGCTCTGCCCTGGGTACCATGCCCAACTCTGGGACATGTGAGATCGCCTCACCACCGTGGGGTCAGGCCTCATGTTCCAGAGGAGGAAAGGGAGCCTGAAGACCCCCCCAACCCCTGAGTGGTGGATCCACCCAAGCTCTGGTGACAGCTGGGGATGGTGACAGCCCATACTCTGCCTGTGCTGCTCCTGTGCCTTGCAGTAGTAATGCAGCCCTCAGCAAAGACCTCAGGGGAGGTGTTACTGTCCCACTTTATAGGCAGGTATGGGGATGTTATAAAGCTTGCTCAGAGCCTTGTAACTGGAAGGAAGTGCTAGGACTCTAAGCTAAGGACTGTGTTGGGGCCACTGTGGGTACCATCTCACTCCACTCTGAAGAGTCTCCCCTCATCCCACTTGGGCCCTGGAAGGCTCCACTCCTTGTCCACCTGTCAACACTCACCACTTGCCAGCTGTGTGAGCCGGGGGAGTCACCCAGTCTCTGGTGTGATATGAGGGCATTCGTTGCCCGGTCACTTGATTCCCAGAGATGTCTCATGTCCCAGCACTTGGACCCCGGGCCTCTATTTAGCCATGAGATGCCATAGCCACTGTACTGCTCACCTCGAGGTGGAGCCCCTGCCTGGGCCCAGCCTGTGAAACGGGCAGCCAGAGTGCTTCACTGTAGCAGCCCACAGCCTGTGGAAGTGTGGTGCAGAGCACATTTGGGTGTGCGAACTGCTTTTTAATTACAATTTTACAGCAAAATGGGAGTCAGATGGCTGCTGAGCCCCAGAGGCTTCTCTGTGGGGTGCCCTGTATCACAGGTGTCAAACCTCTGAAACAGACAAGCACACTTCTTTTGGAAAGCGGTACTGTAACATGTAAATAAATGGATGCCCAGGCCAACCCTGTGAGTTACAGAAGCTCAGAGAGGGGAAGTGACCCACCTAGGGTCACACAGCAGGTGTGTTGGTCCACAGAGGGCAGGGCAGCTATTCTCTCCCAGTCCTCCAGGACCCTTGGTATCTCCCAGAAGTGGGAAGACAGGAAGGGTTGGCTTACTCCTCTTGGACCTCCTGTGGAAGGTAATGGACCACCTAGAACATCCACATAGGTGGCCATGAGGTTCCCTGTGGTTCGCAACGTAAGATTTCAGTAATCCCTCCCATATTCCTGGTATAAGACCTTTGCCCCCCATTGCATACTTAAATGAGAAAAAATATGTCTGTGGCTAAATAACTGGCTCTTGTTTCTTTTCCCTTTTCAGCCAAGGGGTCCACTTCTTCTACAAGGTAAGTGCATTACTGGGTAGGGATTCTTTCACAGTTATTATTTCCCAAACCACAGCACACTCGTGTGCCCTTTTGCCTGTTTGTTTCCTTTGTAACTGCCCTCACAGGCCTGTTAAGTTATTGCTGCAAATGAGTGGGTCTCAGTGCGCAGCAGCACGCATTGCTTGCCTGCTATCCACAGACAGCGAGGTCCTTATCTATTCCCACGCTGGCAGTGAAGAAGCTTCCTGTGTCACAACGTCCTGCCTGCACCACAGACTCATCCTCCCCAGACCCAAATGTGCACTCCTTCCTTCCTTCCTTCTTCCTTCCTTCCTTCCTTAACTGTTGAGTAGCTGGGCACAGCATGGCCTGGGAAATGTCAGGGTGGTAGATAAACCCTGGTCAGGAGCTCAAAGTGGTGCCATAGACACAGGATCTTGTATCTCAGCGACAAGAGAAATTAAGGCTGGCTGAGAGAGCACAAACTCACAGGCACAAGCTTTGAGAAGGAAGAGAAAATGGAGGGCCTTCAGCTTGAGGAGAAGAGCTGAAGGGTACACAGCTCTGTTGGAGAAGGTCAGGCTGGCCTGTTAACAAGAAAGGGGACAGTTGGGTTGCTGTGGTGGGCTGGGTCCAATTGATCATTTTCTCAGGTGTGGCTCTGCAGGATGGTGCTGGAAAAGGGGCAGTCTGGTTCCCGTGAGATTGCTCCTGCTTGGGGTGGGGTGGGGTGGTCTGTCTGCCAGTGCTTTGCAGGTTTAGGGCACTGACTGCAGACTTCTAGGCATCACTCCAAGGGGTCTGGAAAAGGATATTATAAAAGCTGACAACTGAATGTTCATGCCAATCTTGAAAATACCTGAGTCTTACTGTGTCCTCAGTCTTGAAGGGGAGATGAGATAAGTTAGGTAAATTAAAAGCTAATAAACATTTTCAGACACTCTTCTTAAGTGATTAACATGCTTAGGTACAGAGCTGAGCAGGGATTTGACTCAAAGTTTAAGGTAATAAAGGAGACAGATACAAAAGGAAGGCAGAGATGCCAAGCTTTGTCCTGCTTTTCATTACCCATTGAGCATCAGCAGGCTTAAGTGAAATGTCAGTGCTTGTTAGCAAAAGCTCCCTTTAGTCCCTCACTGTCTCAAGGTGATGGCATTGTGTCACAGAGGGCATGTTAGTCTGTTGATTCACCTTCTCTGTAATGTGTTGCAGAGTCCTACTCTGTGCAGCTCTGTTCTGGGTGTGGGGACCCAGCAGTAAACATGACTGAGCACAGGCCTTCTTGGTCAGGGAGGCAGGCAATGAGTATGGAAGAAAAGTGATCCAGAACATCCTATCAGGTGGAAAGGACTAGCACTTAGGGGAAGGAGGATCATGGAGGGGGCTTCCTTAGGCAGAGGAAGGCGCTGCCTCTGGGGAGCTCATGTGGGTAAAGCTGTGACCACGAGCGGTGTGCTGGGCTGGGGGAGAGAGCAGGCCTGGCCAAGGTCCTGGAGTGCAATGTACATTGTGGCTGGGGCAGAGGGAAAGGCAGATGTGCTGCAAACCTTCCAGTAAAAGACTTTCAGCTTTTAGGAAAGCTTCATATATAGTCTTCATCCCAGTGGAGTGAGGATGGCACTAATTATCCAGTTAATGTAAGTAGCTGCATAGAAACATGGACATCTGTACCAAAGGTGATAAAATTGTAAACAGCCTCAGGTTAGTTCAGGTTTTACCACCAAGTGAGTTGTGCAGATTTTTCACTTTCTAGAGCTTTCAGGATTTCAGAGTTGCAGAGCAGAAACTGGGGATCTGGATTAGAGTCCATGGACTATGGCCTGTCACTGAAGGCTTTTTACTCCCTAGAAGAGGATGAACTATACATAGGACTGAGCAGTCTTTTGTTTTAAAAGTATCATCCCAACCTCAAGTGGAATCTGCACTGTAGGAAGGATTGGTGAAGTTCAAGCAGAGGATAGGGCCCTGGAACAGGGTGATGTTGGTCTGAGAAATCGTCACATTCCGGGTGTAATTTGAAGGCCCTTGCTGATGGATTGAATAGAGACTTGATGAGGTGTATGTCCTGAGTTGATGGGGAGCTGCAGGTAATAAGGAAACTACTAGCCCTGAAGTTGCATGCAGCAGGACCATCTCACCTGCCCAGCGGGGCTCTGGAAGCTTCATATGCTCCTCTTCTGCCATCAGCAGAGTCCCCAGTGCCCTTGAGATAAAGCCTGCTTCCTGCTTGGGCCACCACAGGCAGTTTCCTGGGCTGAGCCCTGCCCAACCTTCAGACCTCCTCCTCCTCCACGAACAAGCAGCACACTTACTTCCTCCAAGGAATGCTGTCCACTTGACCCTTTACCTTTCCCATTCCCACACCTGGTACCCTCTTTCTCAAGGGCATCCTTTTCTGGAAAATCCTTCATCCTTCGTTGGAAAATCTTCAGTGCCTCCTCTACATACACGCGCGCGCACACACACACGCCATGGCCCTCAAGATGATTTCCTTATGGACTGGCCTCTGCTGACTTGGACGCTTGCCCTCCTTGGCCTCTCTCCTGGGATGTGTCTCCCATATGTACCACCCAGGGCTCCCACAGTTCCACGGGCAGCAGGCACAGTGAAGTCTGAAAAGCACAGCCCCTAGTTTTATGTCCTTTCACCCAGTCACCTGTTCTTTCTGAGTCAGCGAGGACATGACCTCCAGGGCCAGGGGCTTCCTGTAAGCCCATGCTGGTGTGTTCAAGGTTTCTCTGTACCCATGCTCATTTTATACCACTTTTCTTGTGGATGGAAACCATGTTCCTCATGTTCACAGCTAATAGCTCCTGATGTGGCACCATCCCTGGAATGGGCAGGGGCCCCGCAGAGGTTTGTTGAAAGCCAGTGAGCCCAGGGATGTACGCCATCCCTCACTACTGTTGTGCTCAGTCCTGCCCTCTCTGAATCCTCAAAACCTCTTCCTCCTGTCACTTTCTCTCTCCCTGTCCTTGTCCCTCTCCCTCTCTCTCCTGATTCGTTTTTGTTGCTTTGCTTACTCTGTATTTGTCTTACACAATGAAGTTCTGGAAGAACAATGTTGGTGTCAGTCACAGTAATCACAACAGCAGTTGCAGCTACCATTTATTGAGCACTTACAGTGGACCCTCAAGTTACAGCTGGCTTGACATACAGATAACTTGGGCTTTGGCCAGAATTGTAGTTTTAACTTACTTATGACCAAAGTCTTGCGTTACGATCAGAATGCCAACCACTTGTGCTTCCAGATGGTCTCAGATACGGATTTAAGCCTTAAAGAGTTCCAGAAGGAACATTACAATGTCCTTTCCTATGTGGGGTTAGTTGAGAAATCCTGGCCTAATGTCTACGGACTCTGAGTTCTGCTTAGAAGAAAGTGTGGCTTGACTAGAAGGAGAGAGCCTGAAGGGCTATGTAGAGGAGCCTGAGCCTTCAGTTGACCAACTTAAATTACACCCAATGCTCACAAGCAAATTGAGTTTGTAAGTCAGGGGTCCACTGTACTATGCTCACTGATCTGGCTCTTTACCCATATGATCCCATTAGTGTGTTTTACTTTTATGAAAACCTCATAACTTACTACCATCCATCATAGGCCCATGGGTCCTGCACTTGAGCATGTAGCAGAATCTCTCAAGCTGCATCTCGCGGTTCCTGATTCAGAATATGTATTTCCAGCGAGTTCTTGGGGTGCTGGTGCTTCCACACTTGGGGAACCCTAATCATATGGTTGAGGCTACCAGGGCTTAGAGAAGTTGTAAGACATTCGTGCCCAAGGCCCACAGTTGTAGGGCTAAGACTACACACCAGCCTTGACTTCCCACTGAATGGTGCTTTCCATCCTGCTTCCACTGTCCTCTTGCTGTCTTCCTTCTTCCCTAGAGGAGCAGACCATTTTCTGTCTGTTTCTCATTTCTCCAGTGTACGCTGCCCAGGGAGCCATGAGATCACTTGCTTCTTTCATCTCTCTCTAAACCAAAGTGGTGGCTGCTGAGCGAGTAGCAGTGGCTGTTTCCCATTCAGCGGCAGCGGGCTCAGCTTGCTGGGATCAGACACTTTCCCCTCTGGGAGGGTGCGAGGGGGAGACTGCAGTTTTGAGCTCAAAGGGCCCTTCAGGTTGCAGGCCATGAGGCATGAGGCACCTACTCTCACTAAGTCCTTGGTTAGGAATGTGCAGGCCCAAGCTAGTCTGTACATCCCCAGCTCAGACACTAGAAAGCTCCATCTCTGGTTCCTTAATTGGGCACTGGGGTTCATCCAGCCAGCCATTTGTTCCCTTGTCAGATAGGCATTTCATTTATTCTGAAGCTTCCATGATTTTCTCATTTATCCATTTGGATTGACCCCAGCTTGGTGCCAGGCCTGAGCTTGGGGATAGAAAAGGGAAACAAAAAGATGCTAAGCCTGGTCCTCTACCACTTGAGATCTGATAGGAGAAGTGCTTATTCACTCATTCATTCAATCAGCAAACCTTTATGGCACGCTGAGCATGTGCCCACCCAGTGCTAGATGTTGGGGCTTCAGAAGTGAACAAAACAGGCTTCCTTCCTCTATGGAACTGAGTGTCCCTCTGGGAGGCTGCTTAGCGCCTAAGCCAAGAGCTTAATAAAGGATGTGTGGCAGGGCTGACAAGAAAAAGGAAGGCAGGGAAGGAATGGAACAGAGGGTAGGGAGTGAGGGCAGTCAAGTCTCTCTGAAGTGATGTTTAAAAGGCAGCTGAAGGGTGAGCAGTTCTCTGTGGGGCTATGGAAGGGCAGGACTAGAACAGAGAAGAAACAGCCAGTATCAAGGCCCTGAGGCAGGAGCACTTGGACAGGAGTGGGGAGGAGGCCAGAGTTTCTTGATGGTGGGGGCAGGGATGGAAATCCAGAGCAGTGGGTGGTGGAGCATTGCTGTTTAGGGTAGGAAATGAATTTCACTACCAGATTGCGGGGAGGGGGTGTGAGTGTTCTGAGCAGAAAAATAAGGTTGCATCATCCATGCATTTAAAATGTAGAGAATGGAGGCAAGAGACGGGCAACCTAGGGAGCTGAGATGTGGCAGATGAAGGGATGACTGGATTTGATGTGTGGATTTAGGAGATAGGGCTGACCATACAGTGGATTAGACCTGGAACAAGAAGGAAGAGAGAAGAATCACTTTAGCCTGAGCTTAGGGTAAGCAATAGCAGTGCCTTTCACTGAGGTAGAAAGACCTGTGGTGAGATGGAGCAGAAAAAAAATGGGTAACTGGTTAGTTGGAAATCAAACTCTAAGAGAGGAGCTCAGTATTCTTAGAATGGAGCTTGAAGAAGGGATAGAAGGACAGCCTGTGCAAAGGCTCTGAGGCAATTTGGCCAACATTCATTCCTAGTCACTCCTCGGGTGTCTGTGCATGTGTTGGGGCAAGATGAAAGACAGTGACGCAAAGCAGAGTTGAAGGTGGGCTAGGAGTTTTGAGATTGTCACAGAGGGGCACTGCGCCTGTCCAGCACTGATCATGATGCCTTCCCAAGGAACCCACACATAGTTAAGTCTTAAAGGATGTGTGAAGGTTAACTAAGAAAAAGTGGCCATGGGGTTGTTCCAGGCAATTGTCATAGCACGCAGTGTTGAAACAGTAGGTGGGCGGGTAAGTGACTAAATGAGGGTGGGAGAGTGAGCAAGCCCGGGTGCCAGCACAGCAGACCATGTGGTGCTTCTGAGCAGGGTGTCCAGGGAGACCTGAACCAGCAGGCATGGGGAGCTACAGGAAGGCCCGGAAGCTGGCAGGATGGAGACAGATCTGCACCCTCTCCTACCAGCCTGTCCCCAGTCCTCCTGAAGGGTTGTGTCTGTGGCCACATGGGATTTGCTGTGCCCCAGAACTGCCTTCTGAGCCAAGCACTCATGCCAGCTCCACTAATAAGCCCGCTGCCAAGCCCCATTGCTCAGTGCTGACATTACCCAGCCTGTCACTCCCAGAGTCACCGGCTGGGGAGTTTACACAACTCCTGCCCAGCCAGTGGCTCTGCTCAGCTCATCACCTTGACCATGACCCTCCAGCCAGCCAAGCCACAGCTTCCAATTACAGAATCAAGTGCATGAACAGCTTTTTTGATTAACTGGGACATCTTGGTCTCTTTTCTTTTTTTAAACGGTAATACATAGATATTTATAATATAGAACATTTGCAAAATATGGAAACTAAAATGAAGAAAAATACCCTACAAAGACTACTGCTGTTAGCACTTTGCTTCCAGTCTTACCGCACATTTTTCATCATTGAGATTATCCCACAGAGACTTGAGACTTGCCTTTCCGCTTATCATCTCAGTGTAATCATTCGTAACTGAAAAAAAATTTCACATAAACTTGAAGTCTTAATCTGTAGATTTATCCTAATTTCCTAAACTGGTGCCAATTGGCAGAGACCCGAGGTTTAGCCTCCGCCCCCCCATCCTGCTCAGGCCACGTCTTCATACATAAAGATTTTGATTTGTTTTGGTTTGGTTTGTTCTGCAGTACTGAGAATGGAACCCAGACCCTTTGCTCTGAACTGCATCCCCAGCTCTTTTTTATTTTGAGATACTGTCTCACTAAGTTGCTCAGGTTGGGTGCGCACCACCATGCCCGGCTTCTGAAAGCATTTTCTATATTCCATTCTTCAACAAAGTGCAGTTATGAGTCAGTAGATTCTCTTGATTTTGTCAGCTGCTATCTGGAAGGGTGGCACTGGCTTGTGTCTCCCAACAGTGGTGTTATGAAAGCACCAGTCATTGTCACTGTACCCTCCCCAGACTACCTTTCCGAGCATTACCATTTTTAAATTTCCTGGCCAATACAGGTTTAAAAAATAGACAAAACAGTGCCTTGTTTAAAAATCCTTGTTAGTGAAATGGATCCCCTTGTCCAAACATTTGATAAGCAGTTGTATTTCTATTGTGAATCATTCATCCGCATCCTCTACCCATATAGGAAGTGGAACCTAAATGTTATTCTTATCGATTTGCATGAGCACTGGAGATAGTGTGGGTATTTTTATCTGTGTCTCTTTCCTTTTTAGGTTGCATGAGCCCGAGAAGAATGCCAGAGAAATCACCCAGGTACAGTCCTTGGTGAGCTGCCCTGCCTGGGAAACTCAATGCGTGATTTCCCTGCAGCAACCAGAGTTGCAGATCCAGTTCTAAATTAAGACTCTGTCCCCAGGGAGGGAGGTGCGAGAGTGGAAAATCCATACATTGTTAGTTTCTTCCTTGTCCTCTGCTGATTCCTTCTCTGCTCCAGCCAAGAGGCTGTGCAGTGTTCTTGCCTTGTTGCTCCCCATTACACAACTCCAGAGGGCACTGTTCTTAATGTGTCCCATAGAGTCAGGCTGCGGCCTTTCCTAGGGTGGATTGCCCCCCTTCTTGCCTCCGGCACTTGCTCAAGCCAGGTTCTCTGTCAGGAGCACACTGTCCATACCTAGTTCCCATCTTCTCTTTGCAGCTGCTCCTCCCTAGAATAGTTGCACGACAGAACCTGCCAGAGCCTGTCTTGCCTCTGCTGATAGAAAGACCTTGTGTCATCAATTACCTCTCACCTAGGTGCCCTTCCTTGACCTGGTGATTTCTTCTCAGTATTGCAGAGGAGACTTCACAGGCAACATAGCTGGCCTGTTTCTGTGAAATGGAGCCCTGCCTGTCACCGGCTGATGTTGTCAGACATTGGAGGCACAGGGCTCCTCAGAGCCTGGTAATGAGACAGGCCCTGCTCTGACCCAGATCAAGAGAGCCAGCTGTCCTTGACATTCCCAGGTGGTTGGCATCATTTTAGATGTAATCTGTGAAGGGACTAAGCTGCTGAGATAGGCCAGACACCTCAGCCTCCCATCCTGACCTGCTACATCCCTGGGCACAGGCTTGGGTGGTAATTAGCAAATACAAAACAGTTTCCAGTCATGGCAGAGAAAAGCCTTCTCCTCAGTCATTTTTGGGCTTTCTTCTGGGGAGACTTCTGGGAAAAGGGTGAGAATAGTGAAACAACTTGGTCAGTAAAACCTGTGGACATCTACATTCAAAGATTACTGAGCTTCCACTAAGGGCAGGAGCAGCACAGTCATGACTCTGCTAATGTTAGGTGGCAGGATTGTGCCTCAGTTCCCAACAACAGGAAAGACTTCCAACACTGTTCGTGTGGACTTCCCAGAGAGCAGTGCATGAGGATCTGCAGGCTCAAGTCACTGAGCCGTGGTGTGGGAAGACCGCAAGTCTAGGGTCAACAGACTTTGGGTTTTTTTCTAGCTGAGTGACTTTGACCTTGACCAAGCCTCCCTGGGTCTGTGTTCTTCACCTATAAAATGGGCTCAGTAATTCTTCCAGGCAAGGTTGTGGTGAGGCCCACTTATGTCATTGGGAGGGGCTGGTGAGTCCTGCTGAGCAGCTGCCATCATGCAGAGTGAGGGGTTGAGCTGGTAGTGGTGATGGCCCTGCCCTACTTCTAAGCACAGAGGCCGAGTGTAGGAGAAGCAGAGTTTGTAACTCATGTAACTTCAAGGCACAGTTTCCAGTGCAAAGATAAAACGTGGGACAGAGTCAGGTTTGGCAAGTGGTTGACAGTGATTGGGAACCTTTATTGAAAGTAAGTGTCACTTCATGCCAAATTGTGTTCTAAATGTTTACCTGGATGATTTCATTTGATCCTCACAGCAGCCCTGGTGATAGAAACTATGATTTTCCTTATTTCACAATGAGGAAACTGAGACACAGAGAGGTTTAGTGAATTGCCCAAAGTCCTTCACATAGAAAAGGCAGAACCAGGATTGAAACCCAGACCTTCTAATTCCAGAATTTTTACTACCCATTCATCCATCCATCCACCCATTCATGTATTCAGTTATCCATCCGTCTAGCCAGCCAGCCAGCCAGCCATCTGTTCATCCCTTCAACAAGAGTAGCACAGCATTGATGTCTGTCATAACAAATGACCAGTGAATATTGGTGGAATAAACACATGAGCGAATGAGTGTCCTCACCCTGTAGGAAACCACACCTGCTCAGGGCCCAAAGCAGATACAGTCCCTGATGGTGGGTGCAATAAGGAGGAGCACTGGCTCCTGGGCCCAGCCAGTAGCATGGTGGGGAGGGAGGGCAGGGAAGCATCTTCGGAATGGAGTGTTACATAGACTGAGATACACATGGTGGATTAGAATTCACTGTAAGGAGAAGGAAGGGCAGACACTCTGGACAGAGAGAGATGTGGGAAAACAAGCGATGAGAACTGTGCGTGATTCCAGCCGAGAGGTATTGCAGAGACAGGGCTGTGAGGTGACCACACTAGTATTTCAGAAAGGCTTATCAGCAGGATGTAAGGCTGGAGCCAGTTAACTCTGACAAGAGGAGAGGGAGTCTGATCTGGGGCTGAGCTGGGGCCAGAACCATCCAGACTTGGTACCCAGTTGATGGGTGAGCAGATTGAGATTGACTTTCTCCCCATCTCTTAGATCCAGGACACAAATGACATCAATGACATCACTTATGCAGATCTGAATCTGCCCAAGGAGAAGAAGCCTGCTCCCCGGGCTGCTGAGTCCAACAACCACACAGAGTATGCCAGCATTCAGACAGGCCCACCACCCCGGCCAGAGGATACCCTCACCTACGCTGACCTGGACATGGTCCACCTCAACCGGGCACCCAAGCAGTCGGCCCCTAAGCCTGAGCCATCCTTCTCAGAGTATGCCAGCGTCCAGGTCCAGAGGAAGTGAGTGGGACTGCTCAGCCTCGGGCCTGTCCTCACAAGCGTTCATGTCCCACATGGAAGGGCCATGGTGAGGGTAGCCAGCCAGTTCTCAATGGCCAGGTGGCGTAGGCCCTGGGACCAGGAGCGAGGGTGGCTCTTGTCTGCCATTCCCCTTGGCTCTCCAGCTTGTCCAGGACAACCCTGCCCCCTGATCCTGTCCCACATCTGGAGACTGATGTAGCTGAACCAGCCGGGGTAGAGTCCTGGGAGCCAACCAGAGCCACCTGGGCTCCAAGAACTGTTGTGCCTCTGGTCGTCAGGCACCAGTCTGGTTGTGGTCTTAAGAGACCTTGGGCTGCCTCCTCAATGCTCGAGCCTGATCTAGGTTGAGGAGGAAAAGATCCCACCTTCTGCCTCCTCCACCCAGCTGGGGATTTAGGAAAATCTTTCCTTTAGATCAAACTGCCCCATCCATGGAGAAGCTGGAAGACCTGAGACCTGTGCCCCAAGACTTGGCGAGGTTGCTGCCAGCAGTCCTGGCCTCCCTAACTTGGGCCCCTCTGAGATTCCCAGGGCATTGATCAGGCTGATATGGGGTGCTCTTCTTCGCCCCACCTCTCCTTTCCAGACCCTAGCTTGCTTCCTACAGCCAGCACTAACTCAGCAGCATCACCCCGTGGACGCCTGTAAATTATCGAGAAATGTGAACTGTGCAATCCTGAAGCCGAGGTGTTAGAAAACTTGATCTGTGGTGTTTTGTTTTGTTTTGTTTTTTCTTAAAACAACAGCAATGTTATCTTGGCTCTTTGTCATGTGTTGAAATTCATGGTAGGGTCTTGTGAAGTCTGAGGTTTTAACGATTTGTTGTCCTGGAGGGATTTTCTTACAGCTGAAGCTTGAGTTTCCTCCAAGACCCAGAGCCCTGAGGGTGGGGAAGAACAGTCCCTTCAGCTGCTCAGCGGGGACATTGAGCCTTCTCTCTGGGACTCAACTCAGCCTTCTCTCTGGGCCCAGCCAAACAGCAGGGTACTGTGCTAAGTGCCACCTGCCCAGTGCCACAGCCGTGTCTGGATCTGATGCCTCAGTCTGCTCTTCCGTAAAGAGGGGAGAGGGACAATGACACCCTCCCCACCATCTCACAAGCACTTTAGGGACGTGCAGAGGGGAGGGACACTGAGCTGGGCCATTTGCCCCACCCCTTTAGCCATTGCCCCCTTCTAGCTCTCTGAGCTGATCTCTTTCTGCTCTCAAACTCCATTGGGATGAAACTGGAATAGATCCTCGTCACAGCCTGGATAGCTCAGCTGTGAGCCAGGGCTGATCCACCCTCTGTCCCTCTGTGACCACATTACCATCTGACCACCACCCTTCCAGCCTGGGCCTGCCTGGGCCAGGCAGTGTTGCAACCCTGGTTACTGAGTCTTCATACGTAACTCACTGAGTCAAGACACCAGTGTCCATGACCCTGGGCTATAGGATGCCCAGGGAACTCTGGGCCCAAGTTGTCAGAGCAAGAAGCTGAGCTGTCCTACCTGTTTGCACAGGTGCAGCGGGAGAACTTTTAAGAGCTCAACAGAGACCAGCTCGCTGGGGTCAGTGACTCAGTGTTTTGTACACGATGGCATGCAGGAGTGAGCTGAGCCAACAGGCCATGTGGGCAGCATTGGCCGAACAAGGCAGGGCTCCTCTGGCATCTGGGAGCTACAATGTCCCGGCCACCTGCCCAAGCTGCTTCCCAGTTTTGAAGGCTTGGCTTATAAACAAACCTTCATTTTCCTCTCTTCTGCTCAGAGACAGCACATGCGTACGTGCAAGTGTGTGTGTACACACAGGATTTTAAAATAATGTTTTCTCGGTGCCATTTTAATTTGGTGAAGGGATAAGGGAATGAGGCCAGTGAGGCAGGCATGTGTGGCTTTAGCTTTGGCCGGGCAGCCTGGAGGGTCCCCATGCCATGTGTATGTGTATGGAGCCCTATAAAACAGAAGAGGTTGAAACAACCCTGCAGAAGGAGCGTGGTTTGGGAGTTTTATTTTCAGACTTGGGAAGGAAACAGGCCCCATTTTGTATATAGTTGCAACTTAAACTTTTTGGCTTGCAAAATATTTTTGTAATAAAGATTTCTGGGTAACAATGACATCTTCAGTCTTACATGTTCTTCCTTGTCTTTGGGATTTTTCTCCTTGGGCCTCCTTAGAGGCTGCCGTCTGCCTTGTCCTGGGCACCTAGGTGAGGATTAAATATGGGCCCAGCCTTGGCATCAATCTGCAATGTTTAGTCTGATCCTCAGTTTTATAGCCATTAAAACCCTTTGTTTCTCCCAGTTGGAGGAAGGCTGTGATAGCTCGAGACAGAAATCCAGTCAGACCACTGGTCTAAATCCTGGCTCTGCCCCTTCATAGCTATGGACAACTTACTTCCCTGAGACTTAGGTTGACCGTATGCACAACGGGGCAGCTCAGCCCCCGCCTAGAGTTCCTGAGTGTGTTAAAGGAGGTAACCAGCACTGAGCCCTGTGCATGTCACATGGCAAACCCTTGCCAAGCCCTAACCCTGCAGGCCCCACACTCGTGGGCTCTTGGACAAGCAGCTCAGCCAGGGCCCAGCCCCACTCTGACCAAGTGCAGGTCTGATGCTTGTCCTACAATAAACTTGCCAGAAGATTATGGCAAGTGCTGATTATGTATAGTAGGTACTCAATAAATGTTAGTTTCATTATCCTCCCTCTGTTGGAATATCATCGATAATAGTAATAATATAATATACCAACATAGCATTCATATCAGTGCTTACTATGCATAGCACTTTACATTGAGACTATTAAACCTTGTAATTCAATGAGTTCGATACTGTCATTGACCCCATTCGGTAGACCAGACTTAGAGAGGTGGTATAACTTACAAAAGTCACATGCTAATGGATAATGCGTTGTGGCTGAGCTTTAAATTCCAGCTGCCTGACTTTGGTACCAGATGCCTGCCCACTGGGTAAATAATGCATCTCATATGAGAACTCGCTGCAGAATCAACAATACCTGATAAGAGCTGTGATGGGTAATGTGCCCAATACTTTGCAGTTAACTCCTTTCATCCTCTCAACCACCATGTGCAATAGGAACTCATTCTCCATCTTTTATGGGTGAGGAAATAAGTCATTTCTCCCAGTTGGAAATGGACTTGACTTTCTCCAGCACACCATACTGACAACCTCCATCACTGCAGGATAGCATGCTTGTGTCCATTTTGCAGAAAGGAATATTGAGGCTTTGAAATGCACCTTAATGTGGTGCATCTCCCACAGTGAATCATTGGGCTAGGATTTATATTCGATCCACTAAGAATCCCTCACCCTGGTCCATGTGATCAGGATCACCAGAGCCAGGGAGCCTCCTATGGGACTCAGAGAGGTCTCTGCCTCACAGGCCAGGACTTTGGCTGTGCCCAAGAACTCAGCCTTCTGCCCACCCTCTGCCCTTGCCTCCCTCAGGGTCCAGGCTATGAAATACACATGCTGCTTCTAGGGTGGAGGTGTTCAAGGCATGAATCCAGGCCAAGGGGGCAGGGAAGTGCCTTGCATTTCCCAGGAAGTGGGGATGGACTGTGTGTCCAGGCAGAAAGACTTGGGGATATATTTTATGCAGTGCCTGGGCCTAGCTTCTCCATAGTCCAGATCTCTAGGGCTAGAGGCTGGCAGGTGAGACAAAAGTTGATGGGCACCAAATGATGCTTTTCCTGCCCACCAGAAAATCAGTCAAGCATTTGGCATTAATCGCGTACCTTCTCAGAGCAGGTCAGGCTCTTTCCTCAGTGAGGACCAGCCCCAAGGCCCTTGTCTTGTGCATTCCAGAGTCCTTGTCCACTTTACACATGTGCTCAGGAAAATCTTTCCCCACAGGGAACATCCAACTGCAAAGACTTCGCTGTCCTCCAGTGTGTTCCCAAAAGCCAAGATTGGACACATTTATTTATTTCATTTTATTTTTATATAAGTACAGAGTACACACCAGACACGCTTCTAAACTCAGTACAAATATTAATTTACTCCATTATCAGTTCCCTCCATCCTCTTAACCGATGAGATATGTACCGTGATTGCCGCTATTTAATAAGGATATTGAGACGTAGATTAAGCATCTCGCTTAAAAACGTCCATCCGGGAAGCAGTGCAACTGGATGTGTGTGATAGGGGTCTGGAAGCTACCAGAGTAATAACAGTCACAGGTACTAAGTGCTCAGTGCGCACAGGACTCTGTTGGAAGACAGGAAATACCACAGGGTCTCACCACCGAAGCTTCGGAGAGTCAGCCTGGTCACCGGGCAGTTGAGGTGCCCTGAGCCTCCTGGGGTCCCTAGTGCCTCCTGTCACCACTGCACTGTATTTGCCTGGGGTCTTGGCTTGTTTTCCAAACACAAGATTATGACATTAAAAATGCTTTTGTACAAAACCTTGGTGACAGAGGTCACCTTCGAAGGAGGCCCAGAAAGCCTGAGGGAGTTGATGTTCTGAGTGTGCACCCCTGGGATGGTCCCTTGGGGTTCACATATGCAAAACTTCCTCAGGTTGCACAATTACTGTGTGCAAGTTATACCTCAAATTATGAAATGATTGCTGCCCCATCCCCTCTCCCAACTTTTGATTCCTGTTCCTATCTGACAATTTCTTTAAAACAGTGTTAATGCCTCATCTTTCATCCCCAAACCCAGCCCAGGGTCTGGTGCAGGTGAGGGGCCCAAGAAGTGCTGTTGAGTTAGTTTGAAAGATAGCATCCCAGTGACCAAAATAGCACCTGAAACAGTGAAAGGAAAAGTGCCCAGCTGGGCAGAAAGAGCAGAGACAATGACAGGAAGAACTATTTATCTGTCATCCCTTCATCTGAGATTCCCTTAATTACTTGTCCTTTCACACACCCTATGCCTTCACCTCTCTTCCCTTCACCGTGGGCATGAAGGTGGCTTCCTACAAAGTCTTCACCCTGCAACCTTGGGCAAATGGCCTCACCACTGAGCCTCAGTTTTCTCACTTGAAGTGGGGACAGTAGCGGCCTGTACCCCTGGGGCCTAGTGAGAACTAAGTGAAAGGAGACTTCACACCCTCTGCAACATTATGGCACTGACAATGCTCAATGCACACATACAGATGTGTGCACACATTCACACAGCTAACTTCACATAGATACACATTTGCTCACATTCATAGCCACATTGATGTTCCCTCACATCCACACACCTATGCACCTCACATATTCACATCCACACAGCAAGGCCAGGTTATCGGAGGAACTCTATAGCATTCAGTCTCCTCTCCTCACTGAAATAACTTCAAGTCCTTCTCTCCCTCATTTGCCTGAAATGACTCCATCCCAACAATTGGGGGGGGTCAACACCCCACCTAGTTTTCGGGTCTTCTCCCCTATACCTCTGCTTAACATTTTAAAGGGCATTTCCTATTCCTCTCCAGCCACAGTAGAACTCTCTGCCCTGCCTTTCTGTCTCACCAAATACCAATGGAATCTGTCCTGCTTCTTCAATGAGCCATACCCTTTGTGACTTGGTGTCCTCCCCACCAGACCACAAGCCCCAGAACTTCATGTCCTATCTTGGATCCAGGCTAAAAGAGGCTATACCCACACCATGCCAGATAGGATCCTGGCCCCTTGAACTCTTTATTTCACAGTCTTGACACCCTTGGCAGATTGGTGCTATGATGTCCATTTCACAGATAAGAAAATTGAAAATTCCAGAGATGATGAAATAAGCTTAAGAATATTCATTTAGCTAATAGTGATTTCTCAAGCTCTTATTGGGGACCTGGCCCTGTGCAAAATTCTGAGAATAGGAGGTGGGCAATAGATGGGTCACACACTTACGAATGAGCTCACGGGGAATGAGGAAGCAAGGACAGCTGGCAATCCCAAGACAGAGAGGAGAGCTATGAAAGAGGATCTGCAACATATAGCACAAGATGGTGAGTAAGGGACCAGTAGGTGGACAGCACCAGTTCCAAGACCAAGCAGATCTATAGGCTTTCAAAAAAGGAATGTGAGAATAAAAGTTCTACGTTAGATACAAAGGCTAGCTAAGGTCCTACAAGAAGATAAAACCAAACCTTCGGAGTTATCTGTTTTCCCAGAAGAAAGTCATTCATGCCTCTACCAGCCAAAATCTGCAAATTAGCATGTAGGACAGCTTTGTAAAATCTGAGGCCTGACTAAAGAAGATTCCGGTATATTCGTTGACATAATGAACTAATCCTGGTGGATCTTTTAAATAATGCCCCAGTATGGCAGGCAAAGGAAATATCACCTTCTTTTTGCCTTATTTCCAAGGGGATCCTTTTTCTCATTAGAGGAAAATGAACAGGCCTCACTCTCCCTGCTTGGGGCAGAAAGAGGCTTTTGGAGTTGAGTCCTAGAGGGTGAGTAAGTATGATCCTGATGGTACAAAGGAACTGGTACCTGCCAGAAACCAAGCCCCTGCCAAGCTCTGTAACTCCATTCTTTGTGACTATCTCCATCATCCTTTTGCACTGACAACTCCAGCCTCCTGACAGCTTCTAATATGAGCCACGGGGCTTTTGCACATGTTGATCCCTCCGCCTGTAATGCTAGCTGGGTCTTGCTTGGTTGCCCTCCAATCCAAAAACTAGGCCAAATTTGTCTATTTGGCACTGCTATGGTAAAGTAACCATGTCAAGTGCATCCCCTTTGGAACCCTTGTCACAGTTTGTAATTACACATTGAACTTGTATTACTCAATACTCTTCTCTATTTTCCTAAGAGGTACCTCAGTGTAAGGAGGATGCTGGCTCTGCTATCTCATGTCCAATGTATGGGAGACACCCAACAAATATCTGTTGGGAGAAAGAGTAGATGGATGAAGGGAGAGAAATATGAGTGGATGAATGGACAGATTAATGGATGCATGGGAGGACAGCTGGATAGATGGACAGACGGACGGATGGATGGATGGATGATAAATGGATAAGGAAGAAGAAATGAAAGTAGAGGAATAAAAAAGGGCATAAAGGCTGGAGACTGCTTTGGATCTTAGGAGAACTGAGAGCCAGGCAGTAAGTTTAGAACTAGGTTCCAGCCCATCCCCTTAACTGTTCCCATTGAGTTATTCTGCC